AGACAATTTGAGATACAGCAATCAATATTCTTATTTGCATCTTATGAATTAAAATCTAATGGTTTTTGTAACTAATCTATTTTAGTTTTTTTAAAACTAGTTTATTTGAAAATTATAAACGTGAAATTTCGAAAGTGTTTATAGCAACGTGGAAGTAATTCGCGAAAAGTTGAAATTTATTTTTGTGTCGAATAACCGTTGCTTTAAAAAAGGAAGTAAAACGAGTATAAAGTGGAGCGATGGAAGAAAACGAGGACGAAGTTAGTGGATGTCACAAGAGAGACGTCCGTCTAAGACGTCCTTGGGATCCTCATGTCGTTGCCAAGGCAAGCGGAAAGCGAACGTAATTGTCATTGAAGTGAGAGTCGACCATCCGAGACGCACGAGCGAATGCGCGATGATTCATTTATGAGCGACGTATGAATAAACGATCATACGCGAGGTAAGCCATTCATTTGCCGAATGCGGCAGTCGATGGAAGAAAAAATAAGTGCATCGTCGCAGCCGGTTCGAAAGTGCAAGTTTCATCTTTGTTATGGAACGAAAATCGGCACATCGCAAACAGAGTCTTAGGCTAAAACCCTTTGAATATGATATGAAACGTGCGAGGCGGAGCTGCGGTATACAATTCGATCTATAACGCTCTTTGCCGTTTGAGATGTAACGGAGATAATAATTCAATGCTCGCACAAAGTAGGGATTCTGCATTCGCTTGCATCACAAATTGGCGAGCTCCCGATCCGAGAGTATACCGAGCCAAATTGATTAGGATATTCTCGCAAGCACTAAGTCGTGGATACATAGTACAGCGTGTCCAAAATAATATAATTCGCAAATATCACTCAATCTATATCTCTTGCTTTCTATTTCGGTACGTCCAGGTTTCGTAAGCAAGATTTGCACGAAGGCGCAAATGTAGATGTTATAGAGTGACAGAGTGGCGAGAAAATACGAAGATGGGATTCTGAGAATTCTTGGCATCTCCGGGGATGTCAAGCCTTTACTCTTATACCAATCTCTGTTGTACGCGTCACGCGGTCTGACGAGCATACTTCGGCGAGTATTGGGGCGCTCTTGAAAACTTGGCGAACACGCTCATCGTCCGATCAGAATTGAATCTGAATAAGCAGTTGAATACGTATTGTAGAGAGCTTCTTTGTCATAGAAATAAAATAGTTTTCTACCGCTCGTATATCTCTTCGCCCACAAGTTTTCTTCATATCTGACTGTTGGATCGATCGACGTTTGCATTCAGGCCATTCATTCTCCCACACGATTCCTAAGAGATATTGCTCGCGATAAGTACCAAATGATTAATAATTATGTCGTCATCGATCATTTCTGAGAGCTTGTCTCTCACTTTGATCTAAGTATATTGAATTTCGAATATATATATATATATATCTTATAATTTTTCAGCACACGATTTATTCTACCGACCTCTTTTTTTCAAATTCCTTCCAAGTTTTCAGTCGATAGCATTCCAAATATTTCTATTCTTCGTGACGGATATAGAATAAACGTTGAATTAATATTGGCTTAAAAGGTAGAGTTAATATTTGACAGTTAATGACTTTGTTCCGTAAATTAGAAAAGCAAGCGTTAGGGTATCGAGACAATCGAAAGAGATAGAAAGATATTTCATATAAATGAATTAAGATATTTATAATTCATTTTTATTTCAAGATTATTTTAAGTGACATCTTAAGGCCTGGTATTCATAGTCTGTCCTTATTTTAAGACCGTCTTAAGTCTAATGTCTTAAGATGCTAATACTCCTTGATTGATTCATGACATTTTAAGACTGTCCTTAAGATAGTCTTAAATATAAAATCGACAATGTATACTGGCAAAGATAGTACAGCTTTTTGATTGGTTCGTGACATTTTAAGGACTGTACTTAAGACAGTATTAAATATAAGAATCGCGACTATAAATACCGGCCGTAGAATACCATAAAGAATAATTAATGGATAATTTTAAGAAAAAAGTGAGTTTCCGATGAAACAAATTTGACATGTTGGAACATCGACAGTAATAAATATTTGAATAAGTAAATAACGTCATGTAAGACAAACTGAAACGGATGTGGGTTTGTAGCATTGGTTAATGGGAGCTGATAGCTAAAGGCAAAATGATAAAAACGGGCAACTCGTGATGCGTGAGTCGAAGGAAGTAAGTCCCTTATCGGGACTGCGTAGTATCCCTGTCGTTCTCGATCCATAGTATTCGTAACGGCTCTTAATATCCTTCCGCGGGTGCGATATGCAAACGTAACCCACATTCGGCAGTACGTAAATATTTATCGTCCCGGATCCTACATAGCTCGCAAACTTAATGAACTGCCGTGCTAATCTAGTCTCGGTATAATGAGAACCCGTTCCATAGTTATTGTTCTGTCGCGAAAGTTGTTACTTCGACGTATTAACTCTGTAACTCGGAGAAGGAAATGGTGTGATTATAACTAAACGATGTAAGCGAACGCGAAAAGGGATCATGTTGTAATAGTAAAACTATACATTGACGATTATATCAGGAGTTTATTATTTATACTATAAAGTCAGGTAAATTTTAACAGTGAAATTTAAGATTTAATTTACGAGAGAGAGGCGGTATACAAAAATCGAGATTCCACGATGAAAGAGTTTATTTTGCTTGAATTCTTTGTGCTCTCTATAAAAGCTGCAGTTTCGAGTCAAAATCTGTAATTGAATGGACATTTTGATGGTTCCACGTGCAATAAACAGTGGCATTAAAGTACGGAAAGCACCTTTGGAGAACAACATTTAATTTGCTACCAATTTTACGACATACAGCTACAAAACGAACGAATAGCATCGATGACGGTCCGTGGCGATCTTAATCGTTTGTTTTACGAGCTCGTAAAATATGGTATTAAGTTCTATTACGAACGCTAAACAGCGAGAAACCAATGTTGGTTCGTTGGTCATACCGAAGTTCTCGTCGGTTACGTAATTGGGTAGAGCCTGACAAAGTTAGCGCAAGACTGTTCCCCGTAAAGTTCAGGTCAAGCTTGAAATCGCATTGTGCGTTTGCGGATGCGTAACGAAGAATGATAAAGAAGCTAGGAAGACGTAATAAGAAGAGAGAATATGAAATAATAAAGGAGGAATTCATAAGACAATTAAGACGTCAAGATGTGGTTTCGACTTTCTTTCTTTGACTTTCTTTGAAATATTAATTTAGAACATGATTATTATGTGATGTTCTATAATTCTGTGTAATTGTGGAATGCACATAAATATATTTTTGTGTGTGTAAAGAATACTATATTTATAAAGTACATATTTTGCATCTTTAATTACTTTCCCATTTAATAATATACGGAGAGAATTTTGTTTTAAAATTGGTACCTTGAAAATATGGTAGTTGTGGTACAATACAATGTTTTAAAGATTTTTACCATGCATTTTAGTAAAATTAATTAAACTTATTTTATTGTAGTTTTATTAATGAATAAGAGAGATTTACATTAAAATTCTTGGAATCTTATTTTATATTTTATTGTAGTTTTATTAATGAATAAGAGAGATTTACATTAAAATTCTTGGAAATACAATGTTGTCCCACGATTATCATATTTTCAGGGTAAACTCTAAGAAAAAATGAATAGAAGGTTATTTATCGATTAAAAAACAATTAAATAATTTACATGATTTAACGATAAAAATAAAAATGTTACTTCTTTATGTAATATAGTTGTTAATCTATATAGTTAAAATTATATTTACAAAGGTTATGTTCCACAAATCTCTTCTTTCCTTTTTCTCTATTTTTTATTTCAAGAAATCTATCGGATAAGAATCGTTCTACTTGTCTGTCAAATTAATCAACTGAAATAGGAATGTACTTTGTAACTTTCTTACAAAAAGGGAAGAAAATTGCTGCTCGATTCCAAGAGAGATATCGGCCTTGAGGCGTTTGAAGACGATACGAAAGCGGAAAATCGACTCTCGAGTACCGACTTGGCACGTTGCCAATCTCGTTGAGAAACGGAGACACTACCGTGGGTGGTCCTCTTAATTAACTTGTTTCGCCGCGCACTTGAATGCGTGCGGAAGACTACGTGACGACGTTCGACAAATCTGTGCGCATTAGTCCTCTTACGCATCGCATTAAACCGCCCGCTGGATGTGTCGTTTAATTCTCATTTCCTCATTTCAAATTGACCGCATACTGAGTAAAGAGCTTTTTGTCATCAAAGAGTGTATCTAAAAAGAGGATATCAATTTGTTGCAGTAGCTATTTCGTTCGTGTGCTTTCGAATCGTTATTTTAAGACTAGTATTTACAGTTTATAATTTTGTTTAAATATTATGCAAATTAAAAAATTTTCAAAATTTGTTTGAATTTTGTGACAACTATGTGTATATATGTATGTATGTATGTATGTATGTATATATTGCAGATAGAAAAGAAAATTACGATTGTAATTACTAAATATTTTACAATGGAGAGATATTGTTTCGAAAATTTATTTATTTAAAATCATCTCAAATGTCAATCTTTCGTTTTTCTGTCTAGCTGTTGTTTAATAGAAGAAAATGATAAAATCGATATTAATTATTTCAACAGAAGTTATGATATGCTATGTAAGCTGTACATTTAGAATTATCATATTTTGCAACTTTTAATGTACTAGATAACAATTTGATAAATCCTTTCAATATTCCTCTGTATTGTGCATACATTTTCATATATTTGTTCTTTATATGAATACAAAAGATCTGGAAAAATTGTGCATATATTTTCATATATTTGTTCTTTATATGAATATAAAAGATCTGGCAAAAAAATCGTACACAAGATTTATCGGATAAATTAGATCTGTTCGACATATTATGTTATCAAAACTTATGTTGTACTTAAGACACATTTTTTCATCAGCTATTATACACTATAGATAAATAAATAATATTTCCGAGATGTTTCGTAATCTAATCTAATCTAATCTTTGATTGCGGTTGGTTTGTTTTTTAGATCATTACATCGTTCAGGAGTCATGGCCTTCTCTTTGACGAGAACAGAACAAATTTTGTAGCTTGAACTGAGAACGCTGTGCTGTTTGGATTTGTGCGAAGATTACTGGTCTTGGAAATTTCTTCGAGGAGAAAAGGAAGAAAAGGAAGTCTTTGAAGAAGAGACGCATAAGAACCCGAAGAAATAAAAGGCGGAGATAAACGTAAGTCCTTTTATGTTTAGCGTTGTTATTACTCTTTCATAGACAATTTGATTGTCTAAAAGTTGTATACATACAATTGAAAGAGCATATTACAGAGTGTGTGCGTAATACCGCAATATTTTCCAATAACAAAATTTAAATTATTCTTTTGTTTCTTCAGTTTCGAATAATAATTTGGTATAAGCGTTTCCTGATATAAGCACATCTCATGTTTTTTTCTTCGAGATGATCTTGTCGTAAAAAAAAAAAAGAAAAATTTGGGTTCAGGTTGCTTTGTACGCGAAAAGAACAAACAATAATTTTCGATGAATAAATACGGAATATATTACCTAATATTCGCGTAACTTGCCGTCCAGTTGTTCATCTGTTGTAGGGTATTTAAATCTCAAAATTTTTATGACCCGTTATTCAATTGGTTCGTGGGATGAGCGCGTTTTCGCTTTAAGTAAGCTCCAAGAGATTTCTCGGAGTTATCCCGGTGAGAGAGTCCGCTATTCCACCATAATGGACTACCTCCACAAGATTGCACCTGCGGGATTTATACGGGATAGCACGCGGTATTTACCAGCTCCCTTAGTTCCTCGTAGAAGTGTCGCTGAGCCAAATGGAGAGCTCTCCGTTGATCTAAAAATAGTTTTCGCACAAAAAGAAAAGCACCTCATATACTCTCTGCGAGCAAGGACAAAGGAAGATCTTCGTCAGGCCATGTGCTATAGTTACTGATTAGGAAGATGCACGAGAAACGTGACGAAGTGGTAATACTGTCGTCACGAATTCGAGAGAAAATTAATTAATTTAATTAAATTAATTTATTCAAACCAAACTTCGCGTTGATTATCACTGTAATTGAAATACAACGTGAAATCTTACATTAGTGATATTAAATAATTCTTTTTCTATCGAATGATGAATAATTTACGTGAGTAGTTTGATAAGTAACTGTGTTTTTTTTAACTAAAAAATTCGATTAATTTCTCAACATAGTCTCCTTTTAAAAAGTTACAGACTTATCAAACTGTCCACGTATTATTATAATAGATAAACATTCACTCGTGTAGTTAACGTAAGGAAATAATATTTAGTTAATTACGTTTTATTTTAATTGGTTCAAAAAGTTGCTTCGATCTATTTAAGATTTATTAGCGAATAAACTGTTGGTAATACAATATTCGATAAATTCAAGTCATATTTTGAAAGTCATATTTTTGAAAATTTATATTTTTAACGCTACACGTGACGTTAACAAAATAGCTTTTAAGAATGTATTGCCTTTTAGTTAATTGTATTGTCCTTAAAAGCAGTAAAGTGATCCCAGACAAGTGAACACTCATACCTTAATCGTTGTTTTTTATCTTGAAGAATTCTGCGACTTAATGTGACGTACTCGGGATCGTAAAATGTTTTATTATTACTTTTGCGATAAACTTAGTAAACATTCGTAATTTCCTTCGTTCTTTGCAATTTGTAAAAATTATTGTTGTTCCAAAAATAATACGATGTTATCGTCAATACGGGAGTCGGGACGACCATGGAAAAAAACTAAACTTTAATAGATATATTTTATTCATGCATATATACTTTTAGAACTTGACTCCTTTACTTTCTCGCTGACACATCAATTAATGAGACATTCTGTTCTTAGATATTGCTGCAGTAAATTGCGTACATTAGAATAACTGCCGCGTTTATCATTATCGCTGGAATATATGTACTAGACTTTGTTTACGACGAATGAAAATTGACTATAATTGACTGTATAATGTAAATTAGTTGCATCACGATAGGTGTACGGCGCGTGGATAATATATTACATAAATAATTATTAGAGATCAATAATTTCTTGCTGAGTGAGACGGCGGCGTGATCAAGTCTTTTTTCTTAGTTTTTATCATAACGACTCAAAGTCTGCATATCCACTTGCTGTTTCAAGGTATCACCGTATTTTGCTTCTATATAGTTGATGAATGATGCATTTTAAATCACTCAAACTGCAATATTTACAATTTCTTGGTGGGATTTTCTAGAGGAGGTGAGGGAGCGAGAAAATATTTGTCGCCTTATGATTGAGGTAAAACACTGCGGATTTGTGGAATATTTGAGCCATGAATATGTTTATGTATCATTCGCGCCTCATCTTCTCTTTTCAAAAATACGATATATTTTAGATCTGAAAATACGTTGTTATTTTTCTTAACCTTTAATACTAGGATAATATTTCGTAAATTATAATGTTATGTGAAATTTTCGGAAAATCTTAGTTATGTAAATTTCTAGCATTTAAATTATGTTAAAGTGGTTTTTTTATTTAAAAAAATATTTTTTTTATCTTTTATAATTGAAACAATGAAATAGTTTATTGGAGAACCAGAGATTGTGGCAACAAGGTGTGCTCGTAATAAGTAAAAATCACTGACGCGACATTTTTCCAATGTTAAAGAAAAACAGCTTTCTAACACTTAACACGTTTGAAATGTTCTGCTTTCAATTATGATTGTCCGTTGAAACAAAGCGAAATCCAATCGGCGATGTAAAAGGCCTCCGGGCCTTTTTCTCTGTTAATTGATACCTAGCTACTGCCAAGTAAATTAAATCCTCATTAACACGTTTGAAAGGGAGATCCTTTACTGACAATCTACCGATTCATTACTGGTGTCCTTTTGTTACATTCGTGGCAACGTTCGCAACGTTCCTACTTTGGTTACGTTATCTTCTATTCTTTATTATAGATTTCTCTGTCAGAAATTCAATCACCTTCAACAATTTATACTCCTATTATCAGACAATGCAGAAAGATAATATCCTCTTAATGTTATAGAGAAGAGAAAGCTTTTACGTTACGGTTATTCTTTTCTTTCAATTTAAATTTTGTCTTTATTTTTTTTATTTTTGGTTTAGTTATATGGGCCAACTAGCTAATTATTTAATTTAATTAAATATTTAAAATAAAAATGTAAATAATTTTTTAAATATTTTATTAGGGACTTAAGCAAAATATTAATATCTAAACATTATAACATTAAATCAATTTCTTTTAAGAAAGATTTAGTGGGAAATACGGAATCTATATCGCATTTTTAATATTTAAACTTACAATTAGTAATCAAGCTTGACATCAAATATTACTAAAGAAAGTTCACATTAGCAGAATATTAAATATTCTGATAACGCAATAAAAAATTTGATTGAATATTTTCAATTAAAGTTAGTTAAGAAACTTAAATTTTTACTGAAAAAATTGTTAAAATGAAATAATTTATATTTAATAAGACGGATTTTTCTATAAATTTTCTATTTAGATAAAAGCTCCCTCTATATACGGTAATCGAATGCTAAGAAAACAACAGAGGGAAAACTTCCTTCATCTTGAACTTTTCTCTTTGCTTGCATGGTTTGCTTTGTCTCTTGGTACATATATCCATGCACCTACACTCACTCATGTAAAAACGCATGTAAAACGACGCAAGTCATTTTTAGAGAGCTTATGCTGTGAGACAGTTTCCTCTCTGTAGTTTCATCCATTTAAGTTTCGCGGTTTTATTTTAAGTTATATAAAGCTTCGTATATACGTATATATACAGGGTGTCCCGACCTTTTTTGTCAATCACTTTTGTGTAGATAGAGCGGACTAAACTGAGTCGAAGAGTCCTCTACCATTTTGCAATTTTCGCAATAGTTAACAAGATATTAATTACTAAAAATTGCAAAATATTAGTCTTGAATAATTTTTTACTCAAATACTATCAACTTTACAGAAAAACTGCAAGAGACAACAATTATTTATTTTCTTATAAAGTTCTAAGAATTTTTTCAGAATTTTTTATCAACTTTTTAGTATTGCATTTTCTTATTTTTACCAACATGAGAAAATACGGTATTAAAACATTCTGAAAAAATTCTGAAAAAATTCTCAGAACTTTATGAGAAGAAAATAAATAATTGTTGTCTCTTGCAGTTTTTCTGTAAAGTTGATAGTATTTGAGTAAAAAATTATTCAAGACTAATATTTTGCAATTTTTAGTAATTAATATCTTGTTAACTATTGCGAAAATTGCAAAATGGTAGAGGACTTTTCGACTCACTTTAGTCCGCTCTATCTACACAAAAGTGATTGGCAAAAAAGGTCGGGACACTCTGTATATGCATATGTATGATATATATTATAAGATATCATCATATTAGCCGTACATACGCATGTGTATGTGAGTATATGTGCGTGTGCTGTAGCGTATCGGTTTTATCCGATTGATGCAACTAAATTGGACAATTGCAATCTCCTAGAAACTTATAAGATTTTATATTTATATGTTGCTACTCTTCTATCGCCAAATTGTTTTCTAGTATTGGACAAGAAGCAGGTAGTGAAATCGATCGCTCGTGAGGGTTTCATTTCACGGAAGTAAGAAAATCATTTTTATAATATCTTCGGTATAAACGTAAAGTTCACTGAGAATAAATCATTCCGCCTTGACTAATTTACTAATGTGCTTAAAATAAAATATATTCGCTGAAAGATTCATACATGCCACGAGCAACGTACTTGAATCGCGTATTTTGAAGATTAATGGAGCCGTAAATTTCAACGTGAAAACATCGAAGTCACGAGTTTTTGAGTTATAAGCGATCAAAAATGAAGTTGACGTACTTATGCTTGTTAATATATAAATTAATTGTATTCTTGTGTGAATTTATATACTACGTACAGTGAGAGCAAAAAGTATTCGTATAGAGAAAATATTAAAAAAAAAAATTTTATTTTTAAAAAGTAAATATTGTCCAGCAAGAAATAAGTCATCAAATTGATGTCGAATCGATATCGATACGATGATTTCAACACTAATTCGCCGTCGATTCGACGTTTAATTGACGTTCATTTCTTGCTGGGTAATTAACAATTTATTCATAAAGAATAAAATAGACTGTATGTTTCTTAAAATTATATATACCAAAAAGATGTGTATTAATTATAGAAAATATATCATCTGAAAAAGAAGCGAAAATAA